CCGAGAGATGGGTGAGGGCAGAGCCTTGTGCCCCGGCCCGGCCTCACCCCCTGCGGGTGTGGAGACAGAGCCAGAGCCGAGTCCGGCGGCGCCAGGGGAGGATGTGCTCGGCTGTGGGCAAAGATACTCATTTTGAACTAATCATTAAGGCTGAAAAATATATACTGTTTGTTAAGGTCGTTTTGTTTGCTTAGCATTCGCCATGTTTTGTCAAGCTGTGTTGTTGTTCTTGGAGGAACTTTTTGGGGTTCATTTTTGGGGTTCGATCTGCTCAGCAATTGATTTGCGGCTGAGTCTGCCAGAGGAGGAGGGGTTAAATAAATTTAGGCTGAGGCTTTGAGGTGTTTACTCATGAGCTGCGATGGGAGAAGAGAGAAAAAGTTTGGGAAGACACAAGGAGGCAAAGTGAACATGCCCGGACAAAGACCTCCCTCATGTGTCGGTCATGAATATGTATTAACAACGCGTTTATAAACCAAACCCAGAACTGTTCGGTGTGTGTTGGGAGGGGAGAGAGTCCACTTAAATTCTCATCATAAATTGTACACTTTGACTGCAATCCTGTTTGGGGACTCAGTCACTTATCACACTCTTTAGAGAAAAACAACTTTCACAAACAAGTTAAATTCATGATCTGCCAAAGGCACATAGCACAGGCACAAAGTGCTGCTTTGACTCCTCTCCTCCCTACCCAACATCCCCAATAATCTCACAATACAAACAGGGTCAACACTTAGTTTACAGCAGACAAGAGTGCAATGTGTGGATTGTCTGGCAGGACAACTCAAGGCCTGAAATGAGGGTGGTTACATATGGGATTTTTCAAAGATCTCATGAAGACAGCAATGTCACAGATGTCAAAAGTGAACATTTTTAACAGATTTTAGACTCATTAGATCAACAACTGAACCTTTTAACATTCAATGCTCCTTTCCATGCAATCTTAGAGACAATGTCTGTTGTGCAGGAAAACAGATCAGGTTTTTGAGTGCATTTTAAAAGCCTTACAGGACCCAGGTGATGGTTTGAAAAAACTATTTCCATGCATATTTTCCTAAATCACACAACTGTTGAGGATTGAAGAGGGGAATGGGGTGGTGAGTTTGCTCTTTCAGTGTGCTGAGGATGGGCAGCCTTACCACTGTGATCCAGCACGAAGTCATCCTGAGCATAGCGATACTTCTCAGGCCCACAGGCAATGAAGACATCATCATCTCCAAAGAAGTCCTGCAAGCATGTAACCTGGACAGCAAAACACAAACAGCAAAATAAACCGATGCAGCACTTCCAAATACGAAATCTTCAGTGAGTCAGCAAGAATTTGTCTCTACCTTTTCACAGCGATAACACCATGTTCTTTTGCAAGGACACAAATACTTCAGTTCCCCAGTACTTCAGCCCTCTATTAATGCAGGAAGCTTCAGGGGCAAGAATGCAAACTATGACTGCGATCACCTGCAAAACCACATCCTTGTATACTTAACACCTTTATCTACCTGCTGATGACTTTAACAGGAACATCTGAAAACATTATTCAAATACCAAAGCTATTTGAATCCAACGGTAAAATCTGTCCAGTTAAAGTGATTGTATTTGCCAATTTTTTTGCTTTATGCTCCGAGGCATTTACTTTCCATGTTTGAATGCCCTGCTAAAAGAAATTAATTCCTCCTTTTCTTAAAAGATATTTCATAGTCAAGAAAATAAATAGAGTCCCTTCCATGCTCTTTGCAGCTGTATGTTCTTAATTATCCCTGAAATGATGTTACAATATATTTCAAGAAGGATGGGGATATCAGGAAGAAAAATGGTCTAGGCATTCTTTAAAAACACAAAAGCAGAGCAAATCACCATGGGAAAAAAAACAGCCCTCAGAAGTCAACAGAAGTCAGCTTGTGAAGGAGCAACTGTCTGCTTTAAAGACAGTTAAAATAAAAAAGCCAGGAGGAGAAATCCCACTGAACTCACTCTAACTCCCTTGTAAGGAAACAAAGTGTTTGCAGGTAGCATTCAAAAATGTAAACAGATTAAAATTTGACTGTATATTTGTTTTCCTATTCTTTTTAACACTGCATACTCAAATGAGATCTGGAAGTAAAAACTATGTAGAAGCTAAGTAAATTGGAATCATAATTATAGAATTTTAGGAGTTGGAATGGACCTTGCTCAAGGCTCATCCACCCTGGCTGTGAACCCTGTCACGGTTGGGGCAGCCACAGCCTCCCTGGGCAACCTGGGACAGTGTCTCACCACCCTCACAGGGAAAACTTCTAATATCTAGCCTAAAATTCCCTCTTTCAATTTGTACCCATTTCCCCTTGTCCTGTCTCTGCAGCTCCTAACACAGATCCCTCTGGCACCAAACGTTGCTAAGATCATAGAATCATAGAGTTTAAGGGTTGGAATAGACCTTACAGATCATCCAGTCCCAATCTCCTGCCCAACAGGTACACGTCCTCACCCCTTCAGTTTGAATCCATTGCCCCTTGTCCTATCACTGCAGTCCCTAACACAGAGTCCCTCTCTGACTCCTTGTAGGCCCTTCAGATATTGAAAAGTTGCTCTGAGGTCTCCACACAACCTTCTCTTCTCCAGCCTCAACAGCCCCAACTCCCTCAGCCTGTCCTCACAGGGGAGATGCTCCAGTGCTCTGAGCAACTTGGTGGCCTCCTCTGGACTTGCTCCAACAGTTCCATGTCCTTCTCATGTTGAGGACACCAGAACTGTGTACAGTATTCCAGGTGGGTCTCAGCAGAGCAGAGCAGAGGAGGAGAATCACCTTCCTGACCTGCTGCCCACACTCCTGTGAATGCAGCCCAGGACTGGGTTGGTTTCTGGGCTGAGCTCACACAGCATTTCATGTAGAGTTTCTCACCCACCATCACCCCCAAGTCTCTCTCCTCATTGCTGCTCTCAATTACTTCCAGCAGTCATTTGGTAAAACCACAAACAAAAAACCTGGTTTTAGAGAAATTAGCTTTTTTCCTTCCCACTCAACACCATTTGCATATTTTCCCCACTGTGCTAATAGTAAACATTGGCAGAACTACAGGAAGGGGTCTGTGCTGCCTGCAATATTCTGAGAAACACTCGGAATATCAATGACCCTGAGCTCTCCACACAAACACTGCACAGGGCATTCCCCAGCAGCACAGTTGTCATGGTAGCTAACCCAGGAGAACGGTGCCCTCACTGCCAGAATCTCTCTGCAGTGCCACATGCAGTCTCCAGCATGTGTGACTGTTATGCAGCCAAAGGGCTTCAGCCACCACCAAAATCCTTTTACCACTGCAATGGGAATTTGCTCTCATTGGCAAGAGACATGTTCAGCTCTATGTGAAACCATTGCTGAAGAGACAGTAATTACTGGATTCAAAATCCATATGAATCTAATAGAAGTTTTGCTAACCTGGGATTTATTCCTCTCTACCTAATAACTTTCTGGAATCCAGCAACCAATCCATAGGCAGGGACACCTCCCACCAGAGCAGGTTGCTCAAGGCTCATCCAAACTGGCTGTGAACACTGCCAGGGTTGGGGCAGCCACAGCCTCCCTGGGCAACCTGGGACAGTGTCTCACCACTCTCACGGGAGAAAATCCAAAATTTGCTCTTTCTAAGGAATACTTCTTCAGTCACATCAAGCTACTCGACTAGAATATACAAACTGTAATGCTTAGGGAAGTCCCTTCCCCATTACCATCACACAAGCCTTGAAATGCAATTTACACCAACCCCTCCTCCCACTCCTGAATCTAACAAACAGAAGATGCATTCCCACCAGAAGAAACATGAATAATGATTCTTTATAGACAGAATTCAACACATACTTGATTGCCCTTTATGATGAAGTTAGAATGACAAAAAATGAGATTATATAAATGAGCCTTTATCCAGAAGATATTTGTCCTCCAATTTCCAGAAGAAAAGTACTAAAAAAAACCCCTAATACTTAGAGACTGGTGCCATGGAGGTTTTATAAACACTTGAAAAATCACTGGAAATTCAAATTCCCTGAAATGTTTAGTGCCAAACAGAGTTCTGTAATCATATATCAACAGCCTCCAGGGCAGGAGCTCACTGTATTTATTCCAGCTCTATAAATGTGCTTCGTTTCTAAACGTAGAAGGAAGAGCTGTAAAGACAAATAGTTTGGCTTAATTTAGTATGTCTGATTCAATTTAAGAAAGCAGCTACAGGACTGTGGAGTTTGAATCTGGACAGCCACACCCTCTGTCTGAGCGAAGCTCCTCTGGGGACAAATTCTCTACAGCAGCAAAAAATGGAACTAAAACATCACAACTGGAAAAAATATTCGAGATTATTTGTATCTGTTTTAACAATTGCAGAAATATTTATACCTACTGACTTGAAGAGTACAGGATATGCTGTCAATATTTTAAAAGGAAGCAAAAAACACACAAAGCAAAAGGAAAACTAGGCAAACTGGCACACACAGAGCTGGATTTGTGAATGTGTTTCAGCTCAGCAGCTGAGACAGGCATTTGAGGCTGACATTCCTAAAGAAATGCAGTGGGGTTCTTTCCCCATGAATTGCTGAAAAAAAAAGAATTATTTGTTAAATGTCAGCTGGACAAATCTAGATGCAACCTCCCTGGTACCCCCTCCAGTGTGAGGGGTCTGCATATTTCTGCTGGGAAATGCTGTTCCTCTCTCACTGGGGCTGATTACAGCTCTGCTGTCCTGATGGTTCTGCCCTTTGCCCCGCGCATCAACTTTTTGTCTGAGCAAGCAAAAGTCAAATATTTGCCTATTTTGCCAGTCAGGTCATAGTTGCAATCATCATTTTTGTTTCCCCTTTTGAAATCCACTTAGCACTGCCACTTCCTCTTCACTGCCATTCAGCCTCATTAGGATTCTCACAGTGTTCCTGAAGCTGCCAGCCTTACATCTCAAGGGTTTATGCCTGTCCTGGAGTGCAAAATGCAAGGGAAGCACTCCTGCAGAAACAGCTCAGCTGTCTGTTTCCTATTCCAGTTCCATCACCAGCAGGAGCAGCCTTAACTTTCAAAAGGAAGAGTTTCCTCTGGGCATCCTCAGGAACTGAGAAAGGAAGGTGAAAAGGGCATTCCCACCCTTTCCTACTGAGTATGGTGATTTTAACACTTTTTTTTTTAAACCTTGGAATGTCCCCTTGGTCTCTACACTGTCTCAGAAAAACCTGACCAAGGGAAATGGTGTGTGTTTAACCAATATTCTTAGCTACTTACTAAGCCATGAACACCCTTCATGGCTGAAACCAGGAGGCACAAAAGATGTTCAGTAGCAGATTATAGCAGCTCTTTGCCTGGTTATACTGAGTCACATTTCCTGGCATGTCCTCAGTGAGAGAATAGCCAGATGGGTAGCTAGAATATACCCAGGAAGTAGAAATACAGAGAAAAGTCAAACCAATGAGCCTCTGACATGTCCTTTAGAAAAGATACTGTGATTGCCGGGATTCTCTTTTTTTTAATTAACAGCCTATTCACTTGGTAGAAGTGACAAAGTGTTGAAGGCCACTATGTTGAGCAATCTGGAAGCAGGAAAAAAGTAACTGTTCAAGGGCCACACAAGTATGGAAACCTACATTGTACACAAGAACAGCGGCAATGCTCACTACTACATCAGATACATAGCAAACCTGGAAAATCAGGTCAAACAAAGATTCCTGTTGGTATGATGAAGAAGCACTTGACACTTGCAAAAGCTTCTGCTCCTCACCAGCTTATGTCCTCTGTGACAGCTCTACTACAGAATCTCTCTGGGAATTCCCAAAGTAAACACAATTACACAACATCAAAAGAAGGGAAAGCAAACTGCTAAACCTCTCATGTAAGGCTTGAAAGAGTTCAAATGCTGCTAGGACTGGGAACATCTGCCCAAAACAACTACAGGGTAGGCTGATGAGTCCTAAAGTTTGAGGATATATAACCATGAGCTTGATAGACTCCAGACACTTTTCCTATTGGCTGCAGCTATGAGGACTACACAGTGCATCATAATAACTTCCCCAACAGTCAACTGCCATGAGGTCATTAGCAGCCAAGAAGAAAAAAACAACCTCCTTTGTCCTCTGAAAATAATTGGAATTAGGTCAAATACCTCTTAATTTCTGAGGCTCAAATGGACAATTATTTTCTCTGCTACTGAAACACGAAATACCACAACAGAGATCACGCAGAAAGAAAGCAAAAGTACCAACTACATCACATTCATTACCTAATCTTCTGTCAAAACTTC